GTGGGGGGGAGTGAGCGAGCGGCTGCGTGGTGCTTAGTTGCCGACTGAGGTTAAACCACGACAAATAGCATGTAGTAACATGAGAGTATTTGGGTTTGTGGAGTAAGCAGGGATTATTTGATAGGCTAGTAAGTATTTTGTAGTACGAAGGTTTCTCTGAATAGAAGTGTTTCTTGTGGTAATACTGGAGGAATTCGTGGTAGTACTGGTGTATGTTCATCAAAGACTACCAAGAAAATGTAAGTAATTTAAATTGTGCAGTACTGATTGAGTTGCAAATACTGATAATATAATGCTGAAATAGCATAATGATAAAAGATAATATTTTAAACAAAATATTGTAACAGAACCAAATGCAGTTTTATGGATGTATGGACAGGAAATTCAGAATCACTGCTTTCCAGAATGTCACAGTTCAGGGTCTGTAAGAGATCAAGGGCCAAACAGCTACACAAACTGAACAAATAACTGAATGAGGTCACAGTGCAGTGATGTGACAACAAAGGCTGTTACCTTTGGATGAATAAAGGTAGAGAGATGAAAGGAAAATAATGAGATGTGAGAAGTGGTGTTTGGTTTTTACCTGTGGATATAGCACTGGAGTGATTGATACTGGAATACATCTAGCGTGTGTGTGTCGTCCTCTCTTCTCCCCGCCCCCCCCCCCCCAATCCAATTATATATATTATTACATTTTATATATGTATATATAAAGGTGTTTTAAAAAATGAGACTATGGTGGCAGTGTCATGGGGGTCTTGCTAATTTTCAGAAATACGTTGAATAAATCTTGTTTCTTAACTTTATTTCAGAACAGCCATCACAGCAACGAATATTTTCACTGAATGCTTGCATGTTCACACCACTTGCAGCCAGCTGTAGCCCATTTTTCAATGTAAATATTTACAGTTTAAATACAATAAATATATCAGTATTCAAAATTAATCCTAAAAATGTCACCTTGCTAAAAGCTGGTACCTCCTGCAAGTAGGAAAGGAGTTTGGAATCAATTTCAACATTATTTGACATTATCTTTCAGTGAGGATGGAAAAGACCAACCAAAGTGACTTGCTGGAGAAATTGCGTAGATGGCTAGGTTGCATCAAATTGCCGAACTTAAGTAATTTGGTATGATTTCTTCTCTCCAGGATTTCAAAACCTACGTGGATCAAGCTTGTAGAGCTGCGGATGAATTTGTCAACATTTATTATGAGACAATGGATAAAAGAAGAAGGGTATGTAGATATTTTGATGCTAGAACTGTCTTGTGTGTTTTTTGCTTGCTTTTCTAACTAGCATTACACTTGAAAGCACCTGAAAGTTGGTTCCCATATATTGTATTGGCCAGGAAGTGCCTTAGACTTCTTCATGGTAATAGTTCAGTTTGTATCCAACTATGTTTTACAGGTACAGGGTTTGGTCCGTACAGGCGGATAAAACTTGCTTATTTGTCTCTGAGGTCAGAATTTAGCTTATTTTTTTCCAAACTTCTTTTATTAGCAGTTATCACTTCTGTTTCTGGGAGTCTTCAGGAGTGCCTGAGGATAAAGTGGAAACAGCTCTATCTGGCTCTGAAAGTCTTCATGGACCACATCGATGTGGTATCATGTAACAGATATTTGCACCAAAAGAGAGCTGCGGAGACTGTTTTTTGGAATTTTAAATGTATTGTTATTGTAAATTAATAACTTTTAGATTATGTGAAAATACCAGCAGTTGCATGTTAACTTCATAGTCACTTTGCGCAGAAGTAGGTTGGGCAGAGACGTATCAACAGCTTGAAGGAGAGTTAGGCAGTTACTCAACTGTTACAGCTTATGAAACATTTGGGAAGTTCTGGTCTGCTGCAGATAACTGTCTTTTTTAAAGTTTCCACTGTTAGTGTTCACTTTTTTTTTTTACCTGAAATTATAGTTTCCTGACATAATCTGTGTTGCATGCACACACACCCTCCAAAAAAAACCCCAGTGATAAACTTATTCTGGAAAGGTAGCGCTGTCCTTTTGTTAGCAACTAGTTCAGTTCTATCACGAGCTTTGTTAAAGGAATCTTGTCAGTATTTAAATTTGGAGACATACGAGTCTCTATGCAACTTATAAAGCAGAATATGTTTCAGTTTGTTTTAATTCTTGGTCAGGAGCACTAATTGTTAAAAGGAGCTAATATTTCAGGAGGGCATTTTATCTATCAAAGTAACAGAAGAAATCAATAATTCACAACATAAGGATTCAAAGAATATTGTCTTCTATGTTGTCCATTGTATGTGTTTACACATTTTCCCCAAATATCTTTTTTCATAATCACTCAGGCTTTAACAAGACTTTATTTGGACAAAGCAACGTTAGTTTGGAATGGTAATGCGGTGTCCGGGCAAGAAGAACTGAATAAATTTTTTGAAATGTTGCCATCTAGTGAATTCCAGGTTAATGTGTTGGACTGCCAGCCTGTTCACGGTAAGGTTGTATTACAATTTACTTATTTATTTTTCAGTCTTTTTATAACTGTTGAAAGTGAACTGCAATTATAATAGTGCTTAATAATTCTTTTGGAACAAGCTTGGAGAAAATACTGAGGGTTGAAATGCCAAGTTGTGCATAAATAAAGCACAAATCAAGAGATGCAGCAACTCCGCTCTTTTTCTCATGTCTGGGAAAATATTTTAAGGACTTTTTTGTTAAGATCATATTCAGATGTGATGTATTTTCATGTACTGAAAAAGTCTGGCTTATCAGGTTATGTTGTCCTTGATGATGTCTAAGAGTCAAGAGACCTCTGCTGTAGCCTCTGATACTGACCTGCAGTATAATGTGGAACAAATCATTAACCTGTATGTACTTTGATTTCTTTACATCTAGAATAGATGTTAAGTTCTTTTAGATTTCTGATTAACAACTGCTAAAGAAAGGCTTACATAATGGAGAAGTTAATAAATTACTTCTAATGGATATTTTGGGAATATAAGTAAGGAAAAAGCCTGTGGTCAAGCACGCTTGCTTTGCTCTGCTGTGAAAAAGCTATAGTCTCTAATAGCGGCGGAAAAAAGTGTATGCAACTTGCTAAATGTCAAGCACGCTTGCTTTGCTCTGCTGTGAAAAAGCTATAGTCTCTAATAGCGGCGGAAAAAGTGTATGCAACTTGCTAAATATAAATAGATGTATATATGTATGCGTATATCTCAAATAATGAGAGCTTGTTCTAAGCAAAAACTCAGGTCTTTGTTACAGTGCTCTAAACTGAACATGAGATGAAAACAGAAAAGCCATTTAAAAAGCAGTGTTGGCGAGCGAATACATCATTGTCTGTATAGAAATGATGCAACAAAACTGTACTTTTCCTGAACGTGTAACCAATTGTTAGCCTGTAACTAGTATAACCAGAATGGAATGAAACTTCTATGTACATTTCCTACTTCTTTACCTGTTAGTCTTTGGTTGAGTTGTTTTCTTTATACTGTTTCTCCTTGTGAAGAGCAAGCTACTCAAGGCCAGACGACAGTCCTCGTGGTGACAAGTGGGACAGTAAAATTTGATGGCGACAAGCAGCGCTACTTCAATCAGAACTTCTTGCTGACAGCACAAGCCACACCTACCAACACAGTGTGGAAGATCGCCAGTGACTGTTTCCGCTTTCAGGACTGGGCCAGTTAGTGAGGGCTGGCTGCGGGACGTGACCTCTCTCATTCGACATGTTGAAGTTAGCTGTACAGACAGCCGTTCTCGCCGCATGGGAAATGCTCGCTCCTCGTGTTGCATGTGTCATTATGGGAGGTCTACAGATGATTCAGGGTGGATCCCGGTGACCGTGGGTTTAGTAGTAAACAATCTTAAAATGTGAGAGGTTGCTCATGTTAGTTGAACGTAATAAAATGCTGAAGGCAGTGAGCTGTGTAGGAATCATTCCTAAAATGCCTTACATGCAGCTATGCTGCCACTTCCAGACTTCTTGTATGTAATGCTGAATGAACTCTGCTACTGTTTGAACACAAAATCCTCTTAATGTACAATTCTGACCAAACGTGTAATTTTTTCAACTTGAAAAGATCTGTTTTTACAGTAGCTTCTTCCCTCTTTTGAAGAAGATGCTTGTGGCATGTAGAGAGAATTCTCAAAGCTACCTACTCTTGGTTGTAAGAGGCTAGGAAGGATTGACAATGATTTCTACTGTTTGTGAAAGTAGCAAATATAGCTCCCGAGTGTGTAACCTCTCAATCCGTTGGAAAGCTAATGTTGCCTTCTCTGATATGGAAGGACGAAATAATCTCATCAGGTTTCCTTTTGGCTTAAGCTTCTTAGACTTTGGTTGTAGTTAATTTACATTGATTTGTATGTAGGGCATGCGGAATGATTCAGAGCTCCTATGCCAACAACTCGTCACATGCACGTGAAGGACTTCAAACTGATTATTTTTCTTTTGAAGTCTCACAGTGTAAGAAATAGGTCAGTTACATCATTTCTGTTTGCTTTAACTGTTAATTCTGTTGCTATGAAGTTTGGACTATTCTTCCCATATTCAGTCTGCAGGTTTTGAATCCCTACTGCCTTTTCAGGAAACATTGTAGTAAAAAAGTGACACTGAAAGTGTGTATTACTGTGAAGCCTTCAATTTTTCTCTTCAGTACTGTTATTCAGAACAGGTGCTTTGATTATTTTCAACTTAGAAGAACAGCTCTGAACACAAATACCATCTTCCTCTCATGCAGGTTTTTACTGTAGTTCTCATGTTACTTTTAAATATTACCTTTCGTTATTGATTCTGGGGGTTTTTGTGTGTCTTGCTTCAAATTTGCAGTTTAAAGCTTTCAGCTGCTTTAAAATAGTTTTCCAGACTACAGGTTAAGACTGTCCATCTTAACTTGGGAACTTAAGAGTAAATCTGAATATCAGCAGACTTGTTTCAAACTGGTACGTTTCTATTTTAAACTGAGTAAAAAAAAAAATCAAAATTTAGCTATGTGCGTGCGAGTACGCTTGCTTGTAACTGAAAACACATGAGGGGAACTTGTAACTCTGATCTTAATACATGTTGCAATGACAGCAGCAACCTGAATACAAAAGTGGTTACGGCTGCAGCTCACTTGTTTTTATGACTTGCATCGCAATGAGCAATATCTAACTTGTGTAAAACATCTTAAAACATCTGTAGTTTGTGATATAATCCCACCGATAATGGGATGTTTAGGTGAAATGGGTGGGTTTATTTCCTTTTAAGGCACTCCAGTCTTTACATCAGTAAGTTGGAGTTGGTAACCCGTCTCTATTCAGAAGCTGTTTGTGTTCTGAACTATTGTGTAACTATTTTTCAGCCTGAAGAATATGAATTCCTGCAAAACAATGCAAGAAGTCCAGAATTTTTGAAAACTGTAAATACATTGTTATTTCTGTATGTAGTGAATGAAAGGATCCTTCTCTTTCATTACTGTTTGTTCTTAACAGAACATGTGAGAGACACACTTCTATCTGTACCTGATAAGCTTGTCCTGGGAATAAATGCTTACTGGATATTTTTATGCAAGTTTTAATTTTTATAGTAGTTTTTAAGCTTTTTCTAGGCAGATTGGGAGATTCAGAATATATGAGGCAATGTTTTAGTCAAATGTTATTTTCGTGTTATTCCAATGCAGGCTGCTTTGAAACCTGACTTCTGCAATTAATACTAAAAAAAAAACCAAAACCCAACCAAACAAAAAAAGCCACCACGACCTGGAACGTTACTTAGGAAGCTTACTAACTGGCCCGGCTGGACAAACCCAGTTTAAACTCTTACTTTGTAAGATGCGTACTTGGAATTGGACTTGGTATGCATACAGGGGTTTTTGGAGAGAAATTTATTAGGAAATAATTGCTTCAGCCTAGGGAGAAGTGCCAGTTGTGTACTGCCTACTTCCATCATCTTCGATGAGGATCACTTAGGGTGATCCCGTACTACCATGATTAGCTGTTGCTCTTTATAACTGAAAATGCTGGTTTACAAAATATTTTTATGGAGCATACAAAGTGATAATGTAGCTATTAGATTAAATCAGTGATTTTACAACTGAGTAGTTAATGGCACAAACAACAGATCTCCTCCATACGGGCTGGAGAAGTTAGGGATGCTGCAGCTCTGTGCTGCTTGTTGAAACTTCTGTGCTGAAATTAGCGGAAGAGAATGTACAAATGCTTTTTATTTCATTCAGTACAAAACCATCTGGCTGGTTTCGTGTTCCCTGTTGCTGATTCTGCTGTAATATCTGAAATTTACAACGGGCACCTATAAAGTCAACATGTTTATGCTCTAAACTGTAAACGGGAGTTAATGCTACCAGGTTTTGCTGTTTGATACTGAGTTACTCCTGTACCGCCGGTCAGTGAAACAAAGCCAGCTGAAGAGCTAAGCACTTCCACATACTAAATTATGGCTACTGAAGACTCGATAGATCTTCTCTTTTGTGTATATTCCCTGTATTGTCTTTACCAGTCACTGTTTTTATGTTGCTTTGTTCTTTTGGCATACTACAGTTAGATTGACTTAAAATACTTGTGCTGTGTCTTGGAAGGGAGAAAAGTGATTCGTTCTGATGGTATGAATGATTTGTTCTGAGAGTTTTGATATTGCATATGCTTCTTTATCCTGATTGGAGAAAAGTACGTTATAAAGAAATGCTGTTTTATCAGTAAAGTAACTTTCCACACTTGAATATATTTTGTAACTTTTTGAAATTGTTTAAGATTAATTTTAAAAAAATAAAAAACAAAAACCTACCTGACGTTCTGCTTTTTTTTATTATTATTAGAAACTTTCATAGTTTGTTCTTATGATATTAAAAGTGCAAGACATAATTTGTGGCTTCCTTATCTTTACTACTTGTGTTCTAGGTATGAGTTACGTGTTCCGATTGTTGCAGCGTGGTGCTGGGGCACTGCAGAACAGGCTGGCTGTGAGCTCTTTGGCAGTGCTGCAGTAAAAGAAATGTGTCTGGAATAATAACCCTATAGCAAATGCCTCACCAAGAGCACTGTCAAGCAGTAAACGGTGTTGAACTGGCTAGAGTAACAATCTCAAATTGACGTTTCCCTCTATAATTTACTGAAGTTCAGACTGCTGTCCAACAAATACCTGGATGAAGTCAAACAAAACTTGTGCCAGATCCTTGGACTGTAAATATTTTCACTGAGAACATATTGTTGTGCCTCTGCTGTTTCTCTGCTAAGAAGAAATGAAATGCTCAAATAAGGAACGGTTCGTGTGATAACTGGTGATTTATTCACTTTATTTTGCTGTAAAACATCAAATTACTAATGAACGCTTACACAGTGTAGATAGCAGCTTCTAGTTGCTGGCAATGAAAAGATGAGGATGCTAATGCAAGGTCAGTGTTTGCGTGGAAACAGACACTGTTCTAGAAACATGTTCTAGAAACGATGCCAAATATATTGTAAAGTTCTTGCTGTGTTTGAAGGTGTAGATTTCAGTGAGGCATTGCAAGCAGTCACTTTTTGTAATTATCCTGAGCAAGGCTCTGACGGCTGATGCAGCATAAAGGTTTAGGAGCGCTGGGAAAAATAACTCACAGTTAGAGCCAAAACAGAAAGTATTTTTGCATGTCTGTTGAAAGTGAAGCCAGAAATTGCTCTTTCAATATTCCCCCTGGGCTGAAGAAAAGAATAGTTAAGTCTTTCTAAACAAGCTTTTCTTTTCTGATCCTAACTGAGAAGAAGTAGGTCACTGATAGCTGAGCTTATTCCTTCAGAAGGCTGGGTTTAATAATATCAATAAATCTATCTTGTTATCTTTTGCGTCCAGTGATTGAACAGACTATGGAGACTAAATGGCCATTTTGCCGTGCATCAGTAATACAGGGGCCTTAGAATGTACTGTTGATGGAAAAAAGTGTGGTGAATTTCAGTGGCTAATTTTTGTCATCTTACAATCCAATTCAGTCCCAGTGGGTTTGCACCTTCATGGTTTTTTAAGGTTTCCAGCCAGTACACAATGTATTGGACTTAGTAAAACAAAAATAAATGAATGTTGCTGCTGGGCTTAATAATTACTTATCAAGGTCTCTGTATGCCACAATATGAATTCCTCTTAGTGTTCAAGTACTTTGGTGCGTGTATTCGTGCCAACAGAGTAAGAATGAACTCGACGTGCACTTACCAGCTCTGCAATGTAACCTTCTGTCAGCTACAGCACGTTCCTAGGTTCTGAGCGTTTAAAGCACATTTTTCTTCAGAACTCAACACATCCATGCTGAATCCTTAGGCTCATCTGGATGGAACGATCCACAGGGGCATTGTGAGTTCTTACGTGTAACTGAATTGATTTAGGAGGCTTGAATTCCTAATGGACTGAAGTTTTGCTGCTCTGAAAGGCTTAATTTTGTTATATTTCTCCCAGTCCTGGGGCAGCGCTGCTTGGTAGGGCAGTCTAACCTGGTTTTGTAGGGTTCCTGTTTCCAGCTGAACTCTATGGGTGTTGCTTTCATTAGAGAGTCTTCAAGAAACTGGGGGCTTCATTCAAGTGGACAGTTCTGTTGGCAGTTAGAGTACCACAGGATTCTAACTCCCCTCTGTAACTGTCCCATGGTACACTTTCCTCTAATTTGTGATTTAGCGGAATTTAAAACAGTATGTGGACTATAACAAAAAATTGTACTGTGTGTTTATGGAGAAAAGATAAACTGTAAAAGAACAGTGCACTGAAAAATATTTTGTATCTTCACAGTTACAGGTTCTACATCATCTTGATAGTAATAACGCAAATAAACGAGGGATTTATGATTCTATGATTCTAAATGGAATTACAGTTTGTGTAGTGGTCTTGCACTGGTTATTCTTCCCTGATGATTGGTCAGATGTGAGACAGGTATAGGGAATAAAAACAATTTTTATTTTCTTGCAGACTTACTGCACCCAAAAATTACAATGAGGTATAAATATAGGCAATAACAAATTGGCACTTTAGAACATAACATAGATCATTCTGAGGTTTGTGACCTCATATAGGCAGGAAGGCAGATTAGATAAGTCTTTCTGTCCTAAATCTGGGAATATTATCACTTACCTTTGTACTCTACGCTTTCTCTAAGCCAGGAGGTATGTATGCATACTTTGAAGCCGGGAATATTATCACTTACCTTTGTACTCTACGCTTTCTCTAAGCCAGGAGGTATGTATGCATACTTTGAAGCCTACATTCATAGAATCATAGAATAGTTTGGGTTGGAAGGGACCTTTAAAGGTCATCTAGTCCAACCCCCCTGCCGTGGGCAGGGACATCTTCAACTAGATCAGGTTGCCCAGAGCCCCGTCCAACCTGACCTGGAATGTTTCCAGGGATGGGGCATCCACCACCTCT